AATTCCGCTTGTAACATATTTTAGAGCTGAGGGTCTCAGTGGCTTTTGTTTTACATTAGCAGTCTGGTTCTTTATTCCTGGAACACTTAATGTAATCTAGATCAGTGTTTCTCAACCTTAGCAAGTTTAAGATGTGTGGACTTCAACTCCCAGAATTCCCCAGCCAGCATGGCTGGCTAGGGAATTCTAGCAGTTGAAGTCCACACATCTTAAACTTGCTAAGGTTGAGAAACACTGATCTAGATTACATTAAGTGTTCCAGGAATAAAGAACCAGACTGCTAATGTAAAACAAAAGCCACTGAGACCCTCAGCTCTAAAATATGTTACAAGCGGAATTCCTGAATTTAGTGTCCAAAAACTGTTTTTCATTTATGTGGTATTTATTCCCCTAGGATTATTCACGTACCTGAGCTGAAACCAGGTTGGTGTCACTGGGAACAAAATGTTTCCATACTTTGAACTTTTCCCCATGGCCTGTACTGATGGGTCCTCTCAAGGCTTTAGGAATTAAGAGATGGCTACTTTGTTTCATCTTAGTGAAACAGAGTTTAAAGTAATTATTTTAATATGATTTTGCATGTTGTTATTAATAGATGCATTTAACCTCTGTGGCATAACAGTTAGGGTGTTGAACTGGAAAGACTCAGATTCAAGTCCTTACTCATACACAGAGGTCAGTGGGTGACTTTGTGCATCTGCTGAATCTCAACCTAACTATCTTATAAGATTGTTCTTGTGAAGGTAGTATGAGAAGAAGCCCACGTCTCATCTGTGCCACACTGAAGTCTTCAGAGGAACAATAAGATGTAAAAGTAAATCATCTTCATCAAGTCATATAGTCCAGTGGAAAGTCAAGAATAAATGTACTAAACAATAAAAAACAAGGATCTGAAATAACTCTTAATAACGTGAACAGATACTCAAAATTTTGTAAATCCCATGCACTTCCTTGAATTTAACAAGTTCTAATAGAAAGGAGAAAGTATTAAGTACATGGTGAGAGGGTAATCATATTAAGCATATTAAATCTTAAATGAAAAAGAAATCAAATGAAATTAGCTTTGTCCTTCCCCCACAAACTATTTTTTCTGCATGGACCCCAATACAGAAAAAGCCAACTAAATCATCATGTTCGTATCAAATAAGATGCATCTTTTCCTAAATGAGATCTTAATTAGCATTTCCTTAAGCCTCAGAATCTGTACATCAACTGTATAACCATACAGCACTGCTATTACATGTATTGTCATAGCCCAATGGGCTATAAGTCAGCTCTCAACTTTTAATGTGTACCTCAAAGTCATTCTATTGAAGAACCTGAGTCTCCCCAAAGGCAAAAATAATGAAGAGAGCCAGTGTAGTGCATAGGTAAAGTTTGGACTAGGAATGGAGAGATCCAGGTTCTAGTCCCTCCCGAGCCATGAAAGCTGACTTCAGGCCACTCACTCTCTCTTAGACCAGCGTCTCTCAACCTTGGCAACTTGAAGATGTATGGACGTCAACTCTGCTGGCTGGGGAAGTCCACACAACCAAGAGTTGTTAAAACTGAGAAACACTTAGACCAACCTATCTCACAGGAGTTGTTGTTGGGGGGGGAAAAGGAGGAAGGAGCACTATGTATGCCATCTTCAGCTTCTGAACTGAAAGGCAGAATATAAAACTAGTAAATAAAATAGTACCTGTTCATAGTTGGAAGGCAAGGTAAAACGCTGAGGCTGACAAGGGGCTAACTGAACATAGCAGAGGATTTGAGAGATATTTGCTGCCTTGCAAGAAAGCTTGAGAAGCAAGAAGAGCAACAGGAGAAACCGCAGAGGGAAATCCTATCATAGAGCAGCTGCTTGCAAAAAAAGAAAGAGGGCAAAAAGACACCGTGGGAGCTCAGCAGTTGTAGGCAGAAAGAAAAGGATTAAAGAGATCTTTAGATATCTCCAGTGGCATGGAGAGGAAAGTCTGGCTCACCCATCATCTCTTTGCAGAAAGCAATGAAAGCAACAGATGAAAATACTGGGGGCGGGGAGCAGGCAGAAAGGGGGAGCTTTCCTTTGCAAGTGGTTGAAGCTATTCAAATACATGAATATGAGGAGGAACAGGAAGTACCATCCCTCTAAGGTGGAATAGGAGCAAGGCCATTCCTCAACCTGCTGGCACAATATTGCTGACCTTGTATTCCATCTAGACTTGTGTGTTCTACCAGGAATATGTGAAGGATTGGTTGAGAAACAATGTTGGAGTCCAAGGAATCACTCTGGCTGGTATGCTCCTCTTTCAAACCAGGACATCTCATTCATAACACAACAATGAACCTAAGATAACCTTCCTACACTGCAGAAATATAGCATATTCTTCACCAGTTCATCTCTACAGTATCTTCATTTTGCCTCCCAGGCCTCCATTGCAGACTCTCCTGATCCACAAGCCTCCTGAGACAGGACTTTGTCTTCTCATTCTTTGTATAGTCAACACTTTAAGAATACTATTTCAGGTAGAAGAATGTGGCCCAACATCTTCACAACAGAATCAAGGTGATTCATCTTCCTCCTCTGT